CTTAAAATCGGATTAGATTAGCATAAGACCCTAATCACCCTCCTCTAGGGTCTAACACTAATCCTTCGAATTTTAGTGTTTTCTTCTGATCTCTCTCTTCATGCATGCACATGGAATTCAGTCGTAAATCATGTAGCACGCATATGGATTTTAGTCTATTGTATACGTTTGTGCACAGTGATGCCAGTAGTATTAGCTGCTCGTACAAGTAATAGACATGTAGCATTAGAAGTTAGAAATATGGAATTATAATTATTTATAATCAAAAATAATTTCTATAAAAAATAATTTTCAATTAGTATACCAAAAGTCTAAAACTGTTGTTGAGGTGGTGTACCAAAATATAACTATCAACTGAAAAATTATATCTATAAGAAAAAAAAATTATTTCTATAAAACTTATTTTTCTAAAAAAATAAATTATTTAGTTATTTTTAAAATATTTTTATGGTTTAAAAATTCTGTGTTTTTGTAATGGCATTATTAAAAAACTAAATTTTATTCTCACTTGTGAACAAATGATAATAAACATGAGAATAAGAATAAGATTGTCATTCCCGTTTCATTCTCTAAACGCGTCCAAACATGAGAATGAGAATATGTATTCCATTCTCACATCTATTACATTTCATTCCTACTTTTTTTCTGTTCACACTTGACTTCATTCTCGCATATCAAACGAGTCATTAAATCCTAGAAATATGACTCCATCGTATATTACACCAAAGTTTATATATATTTGCATCTACGGATGATATTGACCACTATCTGGTTGAGTACGAATAAAAACCGCGTACATAAATTTGTCGGATTGGAAAGAGATAGATGGCCAGTAGAGTTGCACAGGCCTGCACAAAACACAAAACACTACAAAAAAAAGAAGAGTTAGGGGCAATTATTTTCGTCACTTTTAATTCAATTAGAGGCAAATAAATGGAATTATATCTGCCTCTAATTACATGAGTGGCAAATCGTATCCGCACCTAAATGTGGTGTTGCTAATAGTTAATAGGGGCAATATTGCACAAACTTCCGCCCCAAATACTCAATGCGCCACCTCAGCAGGTTTATTTGAAAAAGTTTTAGAGGCAAATATAATCGCCTCTAATAACTTATTAGGTGCAATTAAAATAAATGTATTAATTTAATGTACAAATATAATTGCCTCTAATAACTTAAATTTGATATTAATATTTTTATTTTTTAATAAATCTGGAAAAAATAATTAATTTTTAATTCATATAATTAAATTGAAAAACAAACATAAAATAATTAAAACATGAATAATTTTGATTAATAAGAAGTCAATCCAATTTGATTACATAATAATGTACCAAAATTACTTTATAAGCGTGTGACAAATAGTACTTAACAATAACTTAAAATAACCAACAAAGTTGACCTTCAACATGAATATAAAAATATCTAACTTTTATCCCCGCCATTCCTATCATTTAGTGGCATCATCTGCTGCATAAAATCTGAATCATTGAGCATTGCTGTAAACTCTCCAGGTGGGGTTGGCACTGGGCGGTACAAAGGTGGCTGGTATGGATGGGGGTAGTAGAACTGCGAAGATGATGTATACGGATACGGTGGAAGATGGTGATATGGAGGATATGGGTACGATGTCGGAGTGTGCTGGGAAGGTGAGTGTTGTTGGGAAGGAGATCGCGAACGACGATGCTGCTACATAAGCTTGTTGCATTAGTTCCGATGTTTCCTCGCCATGGGTTTCAACCAAACTCGTTAATTCCCGTGAGATCTTAACCTGAAAAAAGAATTCACTTCAACAGCCAAAATGGACACAATATGAAGTAAAACAATTTTTTTGCATGTATTACTTGTCTAAATACAAATGATTAAATTTCAAACTCACCGCCAATTCCTCCGTTGCATCATCTATCCAACTTTTGTTTTCATCTCGCCATTTGTGCACTATATAAAACATCTCAATAGGATCGGGTTTGCGACCATGTTTTTGCTCCTATTTGTAAAACACAGAAAAACAATCTGCAAAGGATTGGATAATACCATGACAAACTGCAAAGCTACTTTTTATCGGTGAACGGTAAAAGAGACATTTTTAAATTTTGAAAGAGTTAGAACATTTAATTTAAGTCAAATTTTACCACTCAAACTATAACACTGACCTCGGTCGTACCATAGCGTTCCAAAAGGCGGTGACCTGTTACAGCTTCCCGTTGCTTCAGAACAGGATATGGAAGTGCAGATGACCCACCCATCTAGGGAGAAGCAATTAGGAATTCAATGATAATACTATAAAATATGGGTCTAAATATTCAAGATTAACATAAATTAAGAAAGTCTTCTACAATATGTAATCATTATAGAAGTATTAAAGTGCTTGAAATTCAGTAAACAAATCGGGAAAAAATGCATCACGGCATAAATTGCATGGATACTTCATTCCAGGACATTACCTACATCTGGTGCATATGTGATGCTGAGACAGTGAGATGCATAATGGATTCTCCTAGACATCCTAAAATTCATAATGTGAATCTGAATTTTAAGCGGAAGATTGTAATTCAAATGGCCTTATAGTGGCATGTTGATTAAACAAAAGATAAGGCATAACAAATACCAGTTGAAACAGTATGACAGGAAAGTAAACAGTATGACAGGAAAGTAACTTACTTTTGCCTCTCTTCATATCAAGTTTGGGGAACAATGTTTTTCACCCTTCTTGTTCCCCACTCGCCACCAAATTGATAACAATCTTTTCCATTAACAAACAGCCACAGATAGTCAGTTGTTAGACATCCAAACTAGTTGTTTCGCTAAGAACCAACACGAACCACAAAACAATAAGTTTCAAGTATATGGATCAGCATGCAGATATCAATACACATAGGGTACCTTGGGAATATCGGATATGCCTTTAATTTAATACTCTGCATAAAAAGTCCCTGATTTTTTTTATATGCCTTTAGTTTAACACTCTGCACCAACCATGAAATCTTCTACAAGTGTATTCATTGGAATCATGAAGAACCTCTCTAGAATCCTAGAAGAACCTTTGTGGAGGAGAAGAAATGATATGTAACAACAAAAGATTCAATAGTAGTACTGGAGTCTGAGCTCCATCATCACATGGGGAAAAGTCTCTTTTTCCCTGTCTCCACCTTCCTTTTTCTGCCACAAATTCATAGGTCAAAAATTGACCCAAATCACTAACATCTCTTTCAACCATCGAAAACAACATCATCAAGCTCTCGTTAATGGCAGCAACGCAACTTTATATACAAAAGTCTCTCAAAAGTACACTTAAAAACAAGAAGGGGGGGAATAAACTAGGAAGAAGAGTCATTAGCATCACCCAAGCTCAATCCCCTCTTCTTACTACCACTGCTGCTACTAACCAAACTAACTCCAAATAGCTTGGGAAGCTGCCTACTACTACTCTCTCCATTACTACTATTATTGTTGCCTACTGCCAAGGGCTCTTCCACAATAGTAAGCGAGCTGCTGGAAGTAGTACTCCCTGAGCTATTGTTGTTAGCGTTCAAACCCAAGCCCATCACCATCCTCGTCCTCTGATTCATAAGCGAGCTCGGCGCCACGGGCTGCACATGATTCTGAACAAAGTAAATAATGTCATTGTACAGTTTCCTCATGTTTGCCAGTTCCGACATCAGAGCCGCATTATGCCTCCTCAGCCTCTCGTTCTCTTCCATCAACGCTGACGCCGCAGCGTTAGCATCCCCTCCAGCGACGGAAGCTGTGAGTTCCAGCAATCTCGTCGTCGTCGTCGTCGGCGGCGGCGGCGGATGAGGG